CGTGTTATGAAAAGGGGCGTTTTACAAAATACCGGGCCTTGCTTGCAGGCCCACTATCAGTTTCCTTGGGCCTGCACGCGGGCTATGATTTACTGTAGATAGTTAGGCAAGTCATTTGACATAGACTTGCCATGCACTTGGACATTTAATCGGTGCGTGATTCCGGGGGACTGTTTAATTGTTGTTTGTGATTATTTTGCATAGTTTTAAATTGTAATGTGGTCAGGATCTTACACGTATCCCGTTAGTGCTTTACTATTTTATTAAATTTTGATAATGCAGACGAATAAAACTATATTATAGAAGTATTTTTATCGGCAAGACTATATTTTGAGGAATTTATATCATTCGCTGCTTTGTTATTTATACATGCATGAGCATCTGAAATTCCTATAGCCAGTGCATTTCATGATTTTAATAAGTAGTAGATAGGGAAAAAAACAAACTTTTGCAAAATAAAATGTCATGTTAACACTTGTATAATAAAAGGAAATCAATAAAAGTGATCGCTTATCGTTATTCTACAATAATTTATTGAACAAAATTTCCATGGGTATCTCATTTTAAAAAAAAACCATTTTCACCTTTCGAACGGCGTTTTCCCTATCTTTTCAATGACTTTTGCTATGAAATTTCAGCGACGGTACTGACTGGGAAATTTGGCGTGGCGCCGCCGGCGCGTGGAACGCGTGCCAAAAATTGAGGTTATCCAGTGTGAGTTTCCTCTCTGCATACATAGAGTAGATAAGAGATATATGTCTCTACTCTGTGCTGCATATCTCTCCTCTGTGGTTTGTTGCACTAATTCTTGGTCACTGAAAACAATTGTGAGAGCATTTTGAAATTAATGTTATGATTTTTTATAGAATTTTCATTTTTTTGGACTACTTATGCTTGTTATTCAGTTGTTATGAGTTTTACTTGATGTAATGGGGTATTGCGTTTTGCAATTTAGTCTTGCGTCATAGGAGGCCCAATAGTTAATGGTAATATATATATAGGCATTAAAATTACTAAAGTAGTTTAAAATTCAATAAAATTTCATTTTGCTACCGTGAAAACATTCTACCAACTGTTTTTGTAGCCATAGGTGTTAATTTAAACCATGCGATGCTCAATCTCTGATTAGCAAAATACTTATACGTCACTACGCCACTCGCACTGCGAATCAGAGATTGAGCATCGCATATATGGTTTAATTTAACACCTATGGCTACAAAAACGGTTGGTAGAATATTTTCACGATAATACAATGAAATTTTGTTTAATTTTAAACTATTTTAGTCATTTTTATGCCGATTACCACTAACTATTGCAGTATTGGGCTTCCTATGCTTGCGTTTGCAATTTTTTGTTCGCGAAATGTTTCGTGAGCATGCGTACATATGGCGTCATCAAATGCGCACGCGATGTAAAAATTGTAACGGTTGAATTAAAACATAATGAAACGTAAATCTGAAACATTGTGAGTACTTGTTTAATTTGGAAAAAAAACCTGACAGAAATGGATGACATCTTTAAACAACGGATTATAACAATACGAAATATATCACCCTATCTTACTATGCAGGTAAGATTGTAAATTGCATGCACAGAATCTGGATGCGTAAAGTCAATTTTGTTTATATATGCACTCATCTCAGTCAATTATAAATAAATAACTGCTTTAGAGTTATGTACAAAATGTTATAGAAAATGTATTGTAAATAGTTATTATATTAGCCCACAGAATCATCATTAATTTAGCCCCGTACAGATGAGCAAGTTTTACTTGACAATATCATTTGCATCAGTCGCATGCATGTGTACGGAAAACTTGACAATTTTTTTCCATGGAGTTTTGCTATAGTCATGCCAGCGTCTGGAGCGCAAGGTAAGTTTGTCGCCAAGGAAAACTCGCCAAGTGTACAAGAAATACTTCTATGGTTTTGGGCCTTGACGACAGATGAATGTTTAACAACATTTCACGATGTACACAAGCAACAAAACTTGTCAAGCAAAACTTCTTGACCTTACACACGAGAAGGTAAACTTGTCAAGGAAGACTGACATGCTCGTCTGTATACGGGGGCCACGCTTAGACCACAGAGTAGATGGCATATGTATATGTATCTACTCTGTGCGTATATAGTTACTGACTTATACCGAAATACGTGACTAATATACGATATGTCGAATGACATAAATGTAAGGCAATTCAGTTTAATAATAATAGTGTTGTTTTTGGTTTAAAGGAAATCCAGAAAGAAAATTTGAAGGACTTTGTCATCCATAAATTGATCAAGGATGGAAGTACCTGTAAGTCATCAAACAAATTAAATTGTGTTTTTATTTTTTTTAATATTCTAGTGTGTCTGTATATAGACTCTGGATTCGGCAAGTTCAGAAATTTATCCCTCTTCTTCTTTGATTTATATTAACACTGACATACTATTCATGGATCTATAATTGATGTGAAAAGCTCGCATGATTTGACAATCATGCATGATCGCTATAAACATACATCCCAGTGTAACAGACTTGGTATATAACCCAATGAAATATTCACCAGGTTTTCCGATGAAAAACCCTGCCAGAACAACCTCGCAAGCCAGGGTCTTCATAGCCTAAAGAACCGCCGAGGTCCACTGTTCCACTGCATGATTAGTGTTTTTGGAAAGACGTCTAATGGCTATAATGGTTAGATAGATTCATGATTCCCTATAGGCGCTGTACCTAACCCATAAATAGCAAGACATGGATCTCTATCGAATCCCATGATCCAATCCAATTCAGTTATAAATTTACCACGCTGGTACAGCCTATGCAGCCATACTGAGTCTTGTACCGCAAACCACTAAAACAGATATTTAGCCTCTACGCCTAGGGAAGCCTCACATATCGATTTTGTCCATGAGAAACGTCATATGTTCCCCCCCCCCCCCCCTCGATATGTCGTTCTACTATTTTCTACGGTCGGCTATTGGCGAAGCTTCTGCGAGGAATATGTCATCTTCTGCTGACATATCTTTCTTATTTAATATATATGAACTTCAAAATATCCAACATTTCTCAAGACAACTTTTTTTGCATGAAATATTGATAATTTTAGAGCGTTTTTCTTCAAATTGTAATGGATATAAATGTGTACGTATAGAACAGGTATGGTATTACAAATGTATAGACTGTTGTTTGTATCGAGTTGTTTTCTTTTTATATTCTGCAAAGATGATTCCGAAATGTTAAGGCTTTCGAAAAAACTATCGAATTTTCCCATGATGTTTACAGAGAAACGTCGCAACTGCAACCCCCCCCCCCCACCCCCAAACGAACATGTGACGTTTCTCGTGGAAAAAATCGATATGTGAGGCTTCCCCTACGGAGGAGAGTGCAATAATATCGATATCGTTACTTGAGACTGCATGGAAATGTGCTCTTTTCCGTATCACGAAAGACCTCTAGCTGTCTCTGGCCCGGTATTGAATAGAACATCTTTCTGATATTTTCGATCTGAAGTCTGACTTTAAGCCATACAAAGGGGAAATCAAACTAGTTCTGTTCTACCCTCAATGCCTTTTAAAGAGTCGACCTAAATCTAACCTGATTAATTTAGACGCCGAACTTAATTAGCAGCGGTCGTAATAATTTTCGAAATAGATAAACGGTATTTATGATTAGAGGTATAGTCTAATGTCATGGTCTCATGGAAAGTGAAGTTCGACGTTTGAATCCATGCAACATCGGTCCAAAGACAAAGTCGGAATTCCCAACAAGCGATGTCGAACTAAATGTTTGCCGGGATCTGAGTTCTAATTAATGCAATCGAAACTAAATAACTATAACTGTTGAAATTAGGATCAGTTCATGTGAAGTTCGACGTTTGTGAAACGACGATGAGTTGCAAGCTTTCGTTGGTATATATATAGGGATGCCACTATACCTGAAAAAATATGAGGAGAATTTCGACGTTTCGCACGAAGGCCCTAGTCGTCTGGAGTCACTGAGTTTGCAACCCTCGCTTGTGTTTGCCGTCAATTCTTGGGGGGGTGGAAAATGAATATTGATCGAATACTGGGTTTTGAAGTAGCGTGAATATAAACATTGAATATTAAGAATAGTAATTTGAATATTAAGAGTAGAAATTAAAAAAAGAATGAGTATTGGAATAAGGTAGGAATATGAATTATAGAGGTAGGACTGGTAGGAATATTTAATATTTCAGGAAAAATATTCGTCTTCCACCCCTGATCAATTTTCCTTCTGTCTGTTACTATTGTGAATTTAGGCGAGATTTGATCATAGTTTTGTTACGCGTGCCGCATGGTATAATGCCAGTAACTTATATAACTCTTTCATGCTAATTATTCGCGTTTGGCTGTGGCATGAAAGTTGAGAAAACCATTTTGACTGGATAAATAGCTCCTTATATTGATAAGATCCAGTATTCGGATCGCAAGCTTTACCATATAAACTCAATCCCATGGTGTTATCGCCGGCGTAGAAGACATAGATATTATACAGCTTTTGTTGGATTATTCCTGTCATAGACGTAGACGTAGAATTAAACAATAGCTTTATAAACCAATGATATTGATCATCAGGTAAACATACAAGAGTGACAAGACATTTTAACCAAGCAGTACTTAGACCCTCTCTTTATATTACAGTCCATATATACATGAATCATGCAGATGGTGATGCGGCAGTGAAAAAGTTAGAAAAAGATCTTAAAGCCTTACCAATGAGATTGAACTCCGTTAATATGACACTACATTCGAATATTCTATGTGTAACTGGTATTACGCCATCACTTAATGAAGAAATATTGCAACAAGTCGTGCAAGGATTTGGTGAACTTCTACTTCCGGTAAGTTTCAAGTCTCCCAGGCTTGGAAGTTTATTGTTGGAAGGATTTTCAAAAACTCATTAATAATTCATGAAGCGATTGTCCAATCTTGAGTAAGAAATTAGTCACGTGCATACGTCTTTATACCAGCTAAAGAACACTTTAACAAAAGACCATTGTTATGCAAACTATATAAAGATTTTTATATAAAGATTTGACTTATTATGCATACGTTTTTGAAGCCTTTTAAAAAACTCGTGGGTCGTGTTTTATTAGGTCTAAAGCCACTCCCGCTGCGCCAAATTAAGTCCTGCCATACATGAAAATACTACGCTATACTATGCTAAGCCTATTACGAACAACAATGGCAGGAGGTGGCCCCGAAGAGAAATTAATGTTTTTCTTGGCAAAACGTTGTTCCAATCATTAAAAAGTCCAAAAATGTTTTACCCAACCTCAAATATCAGTTAAAAAATAAATACCCACCCCTGGCCAAAAACTTTACAAAAGAATACCGTTCAGTTGTCACACATGTCCTTAATTGCCGCTTCTGTGACATCAGTTTGAAAACTGCTTGTGCAATTTTTTGCAGTCTAAAGTTTCATGTTGTCTGCACATCTACTTTCTTTGGAGACACCATTTGCCTCCTGACAAATCGGAAAATGATCAAGATAGTGACTCTGATTGATTGATTTATAATATTGTATTGACATATGACTATTGACATTGCATTCAATATTTGAGTGAGTCATGCTTTGGAAATGACAATAAATTTTTATTACCCAACCCTTGAGTTGTTTTGTTTTTCATTTACCCAATCTTTTACTCACTTTACCCAACGCTTTTCTCTTCGGTGCCACCCCCCCCCCCCCCCCCATAAATAATGACCGTTCCCTTATTGGTGACAATATAATTGAAATTTCACGAAATCCAGTAGATTTGATCACACAGTCACGTGCAGACAAAATGTTACCGTACCTGGCAACTTTCCCCACTACACCCCATTTCTTTTCAATATAGTTCAAACTGATCAAAAGCAAGAAGACAAATGAAAGTAAAGGTTATGGATGGTTGGTATTTAAAGATATAAAAAGTGCAGAGAAATGTATGTGGACGATTCCAAAAATAGATATTCAATCACGACCACTCCGTGCTGGTTGGGCAGGAAATAATGTCACATGTGAAGATGATTTATCCTCCGTCTCGACTATCTACGTCGCAGGACTACCTGCATCTATAATATCTGTGAAAGACTTGAGACAATTTCTTAGTAAAAACGATGAAATAGCATTTTGTCAGGTACGTACAGTGCAATGGACGAATCTTTGTAGAAACAAACAGTGTTGTGGTTTAAACGTGTTCAACTGCGCAATAATGTTTAACTAATTATGGATCAGCTGCCTTGCATGTACAGATTCGTGTGGTGTGTTTCTGCCTTGCCGGTCAGTGAAAAGATAAAAAAATGCCCTTGAACCGTCTCGAAAGAAACTCGCTTGTTAAGAGAGGGTCCTGAAGGGGTAAAATGGGAACTGGGATTGATCTATTTTTAGACTGGGAAAATGGGATTTGGGTTGCTGGGACTGGGATTTGGCCACTAGGAATGGGAAATGAAGTCCTCAAAAATGGGAATGGGATTGAGGTAATGCGAGTCGATTCCCAATTTTTCTACGTTTTAAGTATTTTAAAATACAATTTTGATCTGTTTTTGGTGTCTTTCAGTTTGGTCATGATTTTCACAGCACTACCTGCGAATAGGCATACTCTGGCGCCCGGAATTCTGGGTTTTCTGATTATGCGTGTCTCAGAATGCTGCAAATGCCATTTCCGGGATTCAAATTTAAAAATTTTCCGTGCCTTCGGCACAACCCCCCCCCCTCCCCAAATTTCATAAAGTGTGTGCCACTTGCACACACGATGGCTTAAATTTAAAGTCTTAAAACTGTTTATTGTACTGATAAATAAAGGGGTTTTTATTGACTGGGATTTCAATAACTCGGACTGGGATTTCTAATAAAAATCCAACTGGGACTGGGATTTTGCCAAAATTTCTGGTAGGAAATGGGATTGGGACCCCCCTTCAGGACCCTCTTAAGAGGTAGTATACAGTTAGCCTCTAAACTTGTGACAAAGGGCCTTTGCTCGAAACATTGACATCTTTTCCAGTAGTTCACTAGTTCAGACATAAACAAAACTTCAACAACGGCATCTTATTGCATGCCGGTTTTGAACTGGCGGAATTTTGCGCGCGAAACAGAATTTCTCTTTGTCTTTCATAATTAGTTCCGCCCGGCAAAATTCCGCCTAGTTGAAAACCGGCTTCAATCCACACAGTTAGTTTTTCATCTTCTGTTCCTTCTGATCCTTGCCTAGTTGCCTTGCATCATGTGGACGTACTGTGAAATTTAATGAACTTTTCTTCTTCATTTTCATCTTATTTCTTTGATATCTTTCCTAACAAATTTTACATTTAAAAAATACCACATATTTTTATATATGAGCTTTAATTAAATGAGCTTTAATTAAAGGATCTCAATCTTAATTGCGGGACTGGATATAGGCTGACTGTGCCACGAATAATACGATTGTTTGCATCTTGTCTCACTTATGACATTAGAAAAGTAACTTCTGGGGTTCAGATGAGGTTGAATGATTTGCTGCAAAACTATTTTCTGAATATCCCAATGTTGTGGAATCGAACCCAATCACTCGCTATAGGCATTCCAATATTATACGTCAGTGATCAGAACAATGGTAACGTTAAACCAGCGATTGGCTTTGCTTCACTCCGCAGAACTAAGTTTTCAACAAGTGATTTGATTTGGTTTGACGAAATTCGGTATATACGACCATTCCTATTTCCTATATTACTAAGAATACGCAAACTGTATCGTTTAGTTTATGACCAGTCACAGAACAGTGTCACAGACAAGTTTCGCTGTCGTGGAATTCAAGAACAGCGAAGCTGCTGAACAGTTTGTAATGGAAAATAATGGTGGAGTACTACAGCTAATGTATGCAATTCCAGGATATTCTGGTGTCGACTTTGTCTGGAATAAACCTGTTAATATTCAATTCAAGCGATCTCAGGTATTTGGAAAGTTGTTTCATGGATAATATTAGGATGTTTTCACTAAATATATTTCCTGCACACTGATCCTGCATCAGATGATCGTCAAATAACAGCTTCAGGAAAATAATTAAGTATTATTGGATGAGGCTGAGCAGGATATCAGAATTATTCAGACCGAGCTTCGGCAGATAACGCTGACCTCGGTCTGAATAATTCTGATATCCTGCGTAAGCCGAATTCAATTATAATTATTATTCTTTTATTATACTGCAGAACAGATTCCGAATTGAACTAATGCCGGACGAATTCGGAACCATAAGCACAGAAGAGAGACAGTACAGAAACCCGACTTCTTGGTTTTGCCTATGATTTTGGCGTAACCGTAATTCGTTATCAAAATGCTGATGTCATGTTCCTAGGCCGTGGGCGTATGAGAGGCATTCACCTCTGAAAATATTCAAAATGGCGGACCCCCAGGGGGGAGAATGCCTCTCATATGCGTACTGGCTACTCTAGGACCATGGCATCAGCATTTTGATGACAAATCATGGCGTGGTAGCAGTTAGCTTTTCTGGCCGAGTCGACCTTCTGTGTATCTTTATTCTATGCCATCCGGTTCTATTTGTTCACGCGATAATTCTTTGTTTGCTGAATGACGTAATTTTGGGATTTCAGTTGACGGGCAGGTATAACAAAAGACGACCATGGTAATGTATTGATCGAGTTTAGAGACTCAAAAAGATGCATTACCGTTCAGTTTTTCTTGCTTCAACCATTCTGATAGGAGAAAATTGTCCACAAGGCACAAGGTGTTTGATTGCCCGTCATTTGGATGAAAAGTCACATTATTGCAAACAAAGAATTCGTTCTCGAAATCGTCCGATTTCGTGCTTCCAGTGTGAACGTGCAAAGCGAAAATTAGTTTAGTACAAATTTGACTTGAGTATGGTTTAGAATTTATTTCATTTATTCCCTTCTGTGTGGACCTCTGTGTGTGGACGAAACCTGAATCTAAGGGATCTCATATTGTCGCGATGATATAGTCTGCATATTGTATAATCATATTCTCCGAGAGCTATTAAGGCCGCGGATAGCGCTATCCACCGGATAGTGATTTTTTCCGGCAAGTTTTCTAAAATTGGATATTGTCATTGATTCGGTGTAAACCAAATTAAACTTGCATGAGTATTAATTTAATAAATTAAAGTTTCTTTTTACTAATCGCCAGGGACCGGTTGTATAAAAAAGCTTGTGATTAAAGTTAACTATGATTAAGTGCAAACGTCATCCAATAAGAAGCGCGTATTTGAGAGTTAATCACTATTTAACTACAAAATAGTGATTAAAAAAGTGATTAAGAGTTTTATACAACCGGCCCCAGGTCAATATCTGTGATTCCACAGCTTTTCAGGCATTTTTAGAAAGGTAGAAAAAATCAATATTCGGTCTCCAGGTATATTAAAAAAACTAATGGCAAGATGGATTTCGTTCATTAGATGACGCCAGGATACCCGAATACAATGGGACAAATTCCTTCACATTACGTTCCGATGCCAGACGTGATTCGTCCTCAGTTAATAGGTGTGCGACCATTTGTGTATTCCACAGCCACAGTCACAGCACTTCACAATTTACAACATATACATCATATTAACCAACATATTAACTATCATCAACAGTATTTGAGAAGTCAACAACCACAGACCATGCAATTTCAACAGCAACAGACGACAAACGAATATCAGCCACAAACGCCGTTGCTAAATCAACAGCAACCATCTGTCGTGGAAATACAGCAACAAAAGCTTGTAGAAAACCAACATCAATGTCCAAACTTAGCATCAACGTTTGTGCAACAACATCAACAGGTAAAAGTGGCACAGCAAACAGTCCAAGCACCGACTCACCCAATCACGTTACAGCAGTCTGAACTAAATAGAAACCTGTTACAACAACCTCATCAAATGACTCTTTCACAGCAGCAGCAGCAGCACGAACAAATAAAACGAAATCCTGTGCCAACAAAAGAATCGCACCATGTAGAGTATAAAGAGGAGGAACTATCGCAGAAACAGTTGGAAGAGTTGACCGTCAAATATCAACAGGAACAACAACAACGACAAAAACAGCAGCAGCAACAACAACAACAACAACAACAACAACAACAACAACAACAACAACAACAACAACAACAACAACAACAACAACAACAACAACAACAACAACAACAACAACAACAACAACAACAGCAACAGCAACAACAACAACAACAACAACAACAACAACAACAACAAATCCAGCAAGAACAACAACAAAAACGTCAAGAGCAACGACAACAAAAGCAAAAGCAGCAAAAACAACAGCAGCAGGAACAAGAACAACAACAGCAGCAGCAACAACAACCGTTACTAAAATTGACTGAAGTAAATCAGGGAATGAAAGTCGTTCAACACTCCAGGCAAACGGAGCCAACAGAAACAGAACATCAAAACCAAGAAACACGAATTCAAAAACAACAAAAAGTTGATAAAAAAGCAAAACAACATAATTCAGATGCTGACAATGAAACGGAGAAACTAAACGACTATCAAAAACATTTGCAGCGATCAAACTGCCTCACATCGACATCTGAACAAACAGAAGCGGTTCCAGTGCATACAGAAAATAACTCAGTACTTATAGATCTGACAACCATCAATGAAAAGCAACAAAGCGATGAGAGAAATCAACATGTTAACAACGGAGATGACAGTGAAGTTAAAGGATGTACGGCACCACCAGCACAGAACATTAAAAAAACTGATCAAGACCAATCGAATAAAAAAATCACGGAAGGGATTAAAGAACGTAAACAATCAAAGCAAGAGATAATGTCTACAATTCGTATCCTCAACAGCACAGAAACGGAAGATTCAAAACAAGTAGTTTCTCTGAAACAGGATGGAACAGATGAACTAAGTGCACCGAAAAAGGATACAGATGTGAAACAGACAAGAAAGCAAGAATGCTTACAACAAGAAACATTACAGCAAAAACCATCATTGCAAGCAGAGAAAGAACATTACAAAGATCCACGTAAGAGGAAACCTGAGAAGAAACCGCTACTTGCTCCTAAGGAAAAACTATTTCTACTTCAACAACAAATAAAACGACAAGCAGAAGCACTCGAACGTTTAACTCGAAGTAAAACAAAGCCAGAACTGAAACAAGAAAGTAACAACAATGAACACGACAAAATACCTGAGAAGACTTCCAGTATTGCTGCAAAGATTTCCTTGCGGGACAGTAAGAGATCAGAAAAGACGTCTAGTGAAGCAGAAAGTGATTCTGTTGTTACGAGTGAAGTACAACTTCTAAAGAAACGCGACGGCACGAAAGGTTTATTACCAAGCAAAAAAGTTCAGGATAGTTTGAAGGTAACAGAAAGGAAAGAAGAAAAAACTGCTCCTAGACGGTCTCCTTCTAAAATCCGGTTAGCTCAAAGAATGGACACCCATGACGACAGTGAAATAAAAGAGAAACGTCCCAGGTTAGAGACAGATGAATCTCCATCACATAATTTCTCAGAAAAAATGCCTTGTACAAATGTATTGTACAAAACTGTATCTAACGCGGCTGACCTAAATTCAACAAAGTTAACCGGAAATGGTAAAAACAACGAAATAAATTCAAGACATCGCGTTCCTGACGATGTGGTGTCCATGGCACCAATAGGGAACACAAAGACGCAAGTGGATCAGACATCAAAATCACCAAAGAAGAATAGCGAGTTGTTTTCCACGTCTGATGAGACATCATCCAACTTGTGCTCCTTGATGAATCACTTGAATCTAAAAGATGAGCTAGCACAGGCAACAACAACAAAAGACGAGCTGAAACAGATAAACATAACGACAACAACAATACCAAAAACAACTGCAAAAGAAGTATCTGAAAGTGTAAAGAATCAGTGCAAGGAAAGTGATGGCGTGAAAGGAATGAATGGCAAAATGATTCCCCGGTCTAACGAAAGCAATAAAGTGAAGACACAAGAGCAACCACACTGTAAATACCAGAAAATCGATTGCCAGTTGTTGGACAAACAAAACATGAATGTCACTGTTCAGGAAAAACTGAAAGAACGCCCTTTTGTTACACCAGGTACTGCAACAGTTCAAGAGAAATGGAAGTTGCCAAAGTCGGTAGAAAAATCGTCTCCTGTTGTTGTTGTGGATTCAAAAGCAGTAAATGTTTTATCAAATGTGAAGATGTCGGAACGAAATTTTAAAATGGAACTTGGACCAACGTTTAATCAAACTGGTATAATACGACCAATCCCTAAACTTCCTTTACAATCCATTTCTTCTCATGGAGTAGTTCCAGAATTCCCCACGATGTCGTTACCTTCCCAATTTTCTCGTCCTCATCCCCAAGTTAATAACATGCAGCAATTCCAGACTTTTACCAACAATCAGTTTCAGCCAATTATGAGAGCAGAAGCTGGCATGGGACGTAAGTTCAACTATGTGTTTAACCATCCGATTTTACCACCAATGCAATCTGCGCATATGTTGACACAGAATGATTCTTTTACCACAAATACTCATTATGATCCAGTGATGATACCAAGTCCGTTATTGATTGGTGTTCCAGGTATGCCGGGACATACATCCCATCATATTGCTCGGCCAATACCACATATTCCAACACAACCTTGGCAAACTATGCCTTTACCACCTATGATGCATCCCAGGATGACACATTTCCCTCCAGCCTACCCTCCAGTTCTACCAAATATTGGCATGAATAGAAATGCTCCTGAATTCTATTCTAAAATACCCGAGCGACTGCCGAAGATTCAACCTGACACAGCATTCCATCAGCCTTATAATCACTTGACAAACATGCAAATGAAATTTGCAGGAAGAAACTTGAACGACGAGGCACCGTTTCAGATGCCAACATTTAAAGTTGATCCCACTGCCCAGTTCAGGAATGATTTCTCAAACGACAGACCAGTTATGAATATAAACTGTCGAGATATACATGGTTACACTGCAGTTAATTTAACCAACATTGGTAGGAGTGAAGAAAGCCCTAGCTGGCATTCATCATCTGCCCAGGTGACTGAAAATAAACCATACATTCCTTCAAAAGTTGTCACATACGAGCAACTGGTTAGAGAACAGGGCAATCCGAACAAGAATGAAAACAAAATGAATACAGCTCAAACTCTGGCTAACAAAATGGAAACAAAATATCTTGGTGCTAAACAACCTACATTAAAGTCATTAGGTAACTTCAAGCAAGGTGTGAAGGTTCCTACATTCAATCGTACAGTACGGGAGTTAATCAGTGTTCCGTTCACTAGTGATGAAAGTAGACTGTTGTATTTATTAAAGAAAAGACATCAAGGTCATCCTATTGCTCAAGAATGGTTGTTTATTGGTAATAGTCTGCTTACAACTCACTTCAGAAAACTTTGGGATCCACCTCGCAAGGAGGAGGAGTTACAAAATGACTTTGAAGAGGTTAGTAAGGATAAATTCACTTTAATTCACTTTAAAATGTTCTTATTTCAATCAACCTGTGATTCCCTCGCTCCAAACTTCATATACACACCGTAAATCCTCTATTAAGCCCCCCCCCGGCCTATTGATTTTTGGAACTCAATATAAATTAGGTATACAAGATGATAACTTTAATTAAGTTTATGGAGTAAGATTAATGAATCTTATCAGTACGAACATTTTTCTCTTGTTATGAAGGGCGGGAGTGATTATGAAGTGAGGGGAGCTTATTTAAGAGAGGACTAAATTAACAGAGAGTTTATTTAGAACTAAAAAAATGCAGCTAGCTTTCTCAAGAAATAAATTATTGAACTCATAAAGGCATGGTGAATGTATGAACTTCTTGTCATATTTTTCAATTGTTTTTAAGGTAAAAACCGACTGCGTCTGCAAGAGAGAACCAGATACATTGAAATGTTATGGTTGTTCCAAGCAATTCTTTGGCCGAGTTCGTTACCATTGTGAACTGCATCCATATCGAGAATATTTAACAGATTTGGTGTTTTGTCCTTACTGTGGCATTGACTTGGTGTGGACTGAGGAGCCATGGTGAACCATGGGACACATTGTTTGGATATGTAAATTGTATATAACATAGTTGTAAATAATATGTAATTGTATTCATTGCGAATGTTATACTATTTATATCTTATATATGGATATGTACATGTAACGTATATAACAAATTAATTGTAAAACTGTAGATCTAATCATGCGAAACACTGGAAATTCATGAGATTGAAGAGAGTATATGACATGTTAGCATTGTAATATCTATAATCATAAGTATGTCACATAAATATCTTAATTACTAAATGAAACATTAAATATCACTTAACAGTAAAACTGAAACATATTGACTACTCAGTGTTTCACTTCACTTTTAGTGTTTTGGATCTGGCATGGATTACCTGAAAACAGTTAAAAACTCTTCGGTTAAGTATCCAACGTCGAAGATTTTAACACCCCCCCCCCCCTCTCCAGGTAGTTCAGACCAGGGCGCAGTACTGTACTGTACAGTGTGGAGCAAAAGTTTACTGCCCCATTTTCAGACCCAAAACACGGCCCAGCTTTTTGTAGAATCTTTACCGGACACCCAAGTTTGCATGATCACATATTAGTATAGCCAGGTTTCGTCATCACTGAGTTCATATACCAGTCTATAACTAGTCCCCAGTCGTGACGTCACCGCTCAAGGCCATAACTAAGCCAAATGCCGGAAAACAATATACGTACGTAGGTTACTTGTCATTATGTTTTTGCCATTGACGTCAACAGACTGATGTTTCGCTTGTCAAACTTTTTCGCATTGGCGTAGAAAAGAAAATATATTCTGTTAGAAGGTTAGCTCGCGCGTCATTTTTGACTGTGCCGGTTTATTTGCAAAGTAGTTTCATTTTATTTTATCAGTGCAAATTTGGTAACAGTTTAATATTAAGAGTATAACTCTACCTTTCAAATCTAGAACGTAACTGGTTGACTATTACTACCGATGACTGTGATCGAGCAATTTTACTTTCGAAGCTGGATGCAAATCACGTTATTGTGTTGAGAACAAGTATAATCTCACACAGTTAAACATAAAACAGTTGAACCACGGAACGCTTTGCCTTGCACTTCAAAGCTTCCGAACTCTCTGTCTATTTTCAAAACTATATAAAGTTCAAAACTTATATTCATGTAAACAGTAAACTACATACATATAGGAGTGTCTTGGACTGAGAAAATGAGATTTGGGTTACTGGAACTGGGAATGAAAGACACAAAAATGGGGAAACCCAAATACCATTATAAAGACAGTTGTAGTTGGACATTTCAGAGAGAAATAACTTTAAGAACAGCTACAGAGTAATTTTTGATAGAAAATTTGTCTAAAAAAGAACTGAAATTAACCGACATATGGCTCAACGACAACGAGGTCATTTTTCTGCTATTGTAAGTCAGTCATATAATATACCTTTTTCTCGACAAAACTTAAGAGGGCAATAGAACGCAGTATTGTGTTTAAAAGTCATCACATAGATGAACCATCTGCTCTGGGATTTTCTTTCAATTTTACAGTGCGACTGGGATTTGATCTAATATAGGCCACCGGGCTCTGCCTAGTATCGTTTAGGAGGAAATAGGTAATTCGATACTTTATTATTGCATGTTTTGTTGTCGAATATGTTATAAAGAGTTAGGTGTACTGTCAATTACTCAATTGGGACGAATGTCCTGTTCGTTTCTCCTGTCCTGTTTGTTTTGTAATCTTATCGTTGTTTAGTTTGTTATGTAAAGTCTCCTTATAGTCTTCTAAACTAAACTAAAAAAATCTCTATAGACTATACACTTTATGGAAACTAGAAAAAATGCTCACCCATATTTGAAAAAAAGCCCCACTTACCTGAAATTGTCTCAATAAGAAAGAAAACAAAAAGAAATAAAACAAAAAATCCGTGTCGCCGCATCAATTGATCGTCCTATAAAATGACGACAATGACCTGACAAAAATAGAACATTTCGGCCGGGAAGGGAATATTACATCAAAGTAAAGGTGACGTACTAGCCACATACGTAACTTGTAACAGTGGGCGTATTCAATTACAACAGGACACGACATGTATTGATCAACTTCACACCTTGTCCTTGTTATTTCACTCGCACTGACTGAACTTCCTCTTAATAATGAAGAATTGTTTTGTCAGCTTCTTTCACATTTACTCGATCATGAGACCCTGAGTACGTTGAGAATTTCTGTTTGGCAATATGGCATTAGACCAATTAGCCTTTCTCACGAAAGTCTAAATCCGCCATTTTTGGGTAGTATTTGAACAACGTGAAAAATCTAAGCGATGTGAAAATAATTTTTCAAATATTTAACTGTAGTCGATTTATAATGATTATACTTAGAACTATAGTTATAGAAAGTTTCATTTTCACTGCTTACTATCCCTGTTCTAAAAAGGTTACCACCCAAAAATGGCGGCGTGAGAAAGGCTAATTTAGGTCATACAGCATCCTCGAAACTCAGCAGTGGTATTTTACATATTTATATATTTGCGAATACAGTCAATCTCAACACAATAAGTATTTTTACACAAAAATTGGCGGTATATAAATATTTCGAGAAAAAAATGTTGTCAACAGAACATTTTCGCCGGAAGTCGTGTCCTTTTGTTTCTTCCTGTTATTGTTTTCCAGACATTTAATGTGCGCATGCGCTCAAGTGCCTAAGATCAAAAATCCAAAAGCGCAGTGCTCAGTGGAATGGTTGCAAGCTAAAACATTGACTTTTAAATAGTATTCTTCCGTAAATTGTCATTCCAAGCTGTTGAGAATGAGAAGATAGCGTTAATAGTGCCATGTGACTATGAAAATAAGCGAAACGAAGATGAAAGAGACGATAGTTCCTTCAAAATCAGGTCCGAGTAATGGCATCTCTGTCAGCACTGAAAGATTTAAGCTGGTCTACTTTGGCTCGCTTGTCATTGACAAAAGATATACGTCTTGTATGCTTCCGTGGATTGTCGCTGAAATTAAGAGAAAATGCCTGAAACAGACTTTAGACGTTGTTGTTGGGGAAGCAAAAGTTATTGGAACTGTAAATGATACAATTGTCGAACATTGTTTAGTGTCAATATCGAAATGTATTAAACTCGAAGGAAAAGAAGCCTCGACGTTTGCTTATCTTACCAAAGATACAAAGAACAACACAACTTGCTCATGTCATGTCTTTGAAGCTGAAAACACGACGAAGGTAAAAAATTTTTATATTCTGAAGTTGTACTTTGTACATACTGTATAATTTGAAGTACAATTTGCATCTGAAAGCACGACATTGAATACCTCGGTGATTTGTTATGAAATATTAATGTTTCCGTGCATTTGCAGATTTACAACACACACATTTTTTATACTTTTTTACAGTTATTGGTGCATTTTTATATTCCCTTAATATGTAATGGTTATTTTTAGCACGGTATATTTCTTTCACATTTGTAAATGCAACTAACTACACAGACACTATGTTTCTCTTCTCCACAGAAGCTTTGCTTTTAAAGGATTAAGTTTTGCAATTGTGCTGGAAGGTACATCATGCAAAAATATCTCCACACTACGAACCTTCAATCCCCACACTATGTAGCTTATAGTGTGATTGCAAAATCAATCCTTTAAAGGCCTTTGTGGAAGAGAGAGATGTGATATCATATTTGTGTTTGCAATATGTTAATAGAATGAAAAATGATATTGCATAAACATAAGATTACATGATTGATTGATTGAGAGAAATATCAATATTGATCAGTAATAGGATACATAATTTCAGATGTAGTTTATTCACAAACAGCTTTGAAAAGAAGACATATTTTGTACTAGCCAAAAGTTGAACACCATCTTCAGGACTTGAAATAACAGCCGATCGATAATTGTTTATGATCAGTGGAAAAGCAGGGTTTTTCAATCAGAGAACACAGGGAAAGTGTGCTGTGAACTGTGGGAACGTTATTTCAAACCCTGATCTATATATGCATTTTAAATGCAACACTCACAGATAAAAACATTGTCTATTCTCATGAGCATCTCAATGTTTGTAATGATCATTGAAGGTTTCAATTACAGTGAAAATACAAAAATTGTCCCACTTCCACCTCTGTAGATTGTTGTAATTTACTGTAATTTCTTCTGTTTTTCTGCAGCAATTACCATGCAATTCATCGACAAATACCATGATAAAACTTAGTTTTCTCTATTTTTAAATATGATAATTTGTAGCAAAGGGAAATAATACATTTTTTCGTTAGTTTCATTGCATAAAAGGTACAAAATTTAAATTTTATCGCAGTACGTATTTGCCGATAAATTGGTAATCGCTAAAAAAACACAGAACAAATTACAGTAAATCACAACAAACTACAGAAGCGGAAGTGGGACACTTTTTGTATTTTCACTATAATAGCTCAGCCAATCACCATTAGTCAAACATAATTGGCTGACAAGATTGAAACCTGTCAAACATGAAAGTTTCATGTGGTCATGGTCAGCATTACAGGCCTTGCCCTAAGAAAATCGCGCGGGAGCGGTTAAGCATGTGCGCAAAATATGTTGCGTGCGCCACTGTGAAAATTTTTTGTGAGGCCCGCCACATATCTAGAAATGCTAGAATCGAATCGCTTGCTTAAGCAATCTTGGGCGCGTGTGGGGGTGCGCACACATGATCGCACGCCTCTTAGAGCAAGGCCTGCATTAAAACCTTTCACCCAGATCCCTGTATGCTGAAATAACAAATTTTGTTCTGGTTGTAGAGACTAACTTCCCATGCAACATTATATTTTATGTAATATTCTGAATTTCCTACAACCTGGAGCATTTTGTCTGGTTTTGCTAGTTCTTTGCCACTTCGTATTTCCATACTTGTTTGATAATTACGTGGCAATTTGCACTGGTAATTTTGCAAAATAATGCTTGTTTCCAACATAAAATCAAAAGTACAAGCAATCAAGAAGTAGAATGAAGAATTTTATTCTACTGATTCTTACATAAGAGTATTATGAATAAAATTACTGTTTTACATAATTTGGGGGAAATTGACAATGTTCATAATGAGAATGAATCAATCAGTAATACATTTATAGTGGACCTTGGTGGGGTTTATTAGCTTCTATTTCTAGCCAATCATCACACAGTTATATATTGTGTCTGATCTCTATTTATAACCGGAGTGACATGACATTATTTCATGATGGCTGCAGAGTGCAGACAACATGATTGAGGATTGCAAATATGGACATATTTTTAAAATGTTATGGTGGGAATCAAGCATCAAAGCCAATGCATTTTTAATTTATTGTGAACATGAAGACTGGAGAAGGAATGTTTTTAGTAAGTAATTCTGTCATGATTTGTCAATTTACCAAAATGTTTCCTCAAATCTTGTATGACGGAACTTTCTCTAAGCCGCATTTTAGTAAATCTGTGTTTGAATAATTAGACCTGACCATATAGGCTTGTACAAAAAGATTATTTTAATAACTACGTTAATTGTTTTTAAAGTTTTATATCTTTAGTTACTTTTTAACCTGAAGACGGAGTTATACTCCGAAACGTAGTTATTAAAATAATCTTTTTGTACTAAGCCTATATGGTCTAATTATTCAAACACAGAATTACCAAAATGTTGTTGGGAGTTTATACTTTGAGGCTACTGAGCAGGAAGCAACAAGAGCCAGTTATCCTACATTAGTGTAATTACATAGGTGATTATTGAAAATTCTCCACGCTAATTGCATGGTTGCCGTTGAGGTGCATGATTATATGGAGACACATGGGTGCACAGAAATACCAGATTTATTTTGAGTGTTGAACATGATATCTCAAGAGTGAGTGCAGCGAACAAGTAATATATCATGTTCAACACGAGAAATAAATCTGTACCGATATTTCCAAGCATCCATGTATTTTTCTGTTTGTTATATAAAGGACAGTCTTTGAAAAGTGATAATTTTTACAGAAAAGCGATAATTGAAAAGTGATAATTTTCACATGTGAAATTATCATAAATAATCTCACATGTGAGATTATCAGTTTTATCAGTGCTCAAAATCTCTATAAATTAGCACTATACTTTATATAATAAAACGCGATAATCACCGAAGTGATTTTCGAAATGGCGGCCAAAGCCGTTTTGTCAATTAAATGTCGAAGAAATGTGTGTGTTTTAGTTTTTTCCAAATAATCACCTATGAAATTATACAAAAACAGTTATTCATCTCAGGCTCGGTGATTATCGTGAATAAAAACCTCGACTTTGTTAGATTCCAGTTAGTGCATCTCATAAGTCACAGTGCTTACATATTAAGCTGCAGAGCTTTCCCATTGACGAGTAAAATTGTCTGGCGTTAGACAAGTAAAAAAATAACTAGGGCGCACTGGGGCGCATTGTGACTCAATGGTTAACTACAGACATTGTCAGACTGCTGCAGAGCTTCCCCATTGACGAGTAAAATTGTCTGGCGTTAGACAAGTAAAAAAATAACTAGGGCGCACTGGGGCGCATTGTGACTCAATGGTTAACTAGAGACATTGTCGGACTGCTGCAGAACTTCCCCATTGACGAGTAAAATCATCTGGCATTAGCCAAGTAAAAAATACGTAGGACGCACTGGAGCGCATTGTGGCTCAATGGGTTAATAATTTCTTGCAGGCTGGCCGGTTTCTTGTGACCTTAAAACGAGCATTGTACAGTATCTCTAGGTTTTGATCTGCATGCATTTTCATCATTCGACACAAAATGACGTACGGCTACATCATTTTTTTGTCAATAATTACAAATTAAATATTGGCAATTGCTTTACGAAACAAAGTTCATCTGCTGCATCAATTTACGGTGCGTCTATAAACACCAGCAGTATATGAATATTAATTTTAATAGTTTCATAAAGTCTCTTAAGCTTTACTGCCTTGCCACAAAAAATGTAGTAGATTTTATAATGTTGATATACGAGACTTCAATTATTGCCTTTAAAATACGTATTTCACATGCAATTTAATGATATCCAGCTTGGGACAATCTATCCTTAATCACTGTATTCCAAGGGTGGGTATAGTAGCGACATTGTTGTAGTTCGCTGCTGTGGCGAACTACAATTTTGACTACTTTTTTAAAACAGTAGCTGTGTAGTTATAGCGAACTACATTTTGCCTAAAAGTAGCCAAGTAGTTGCATGACTACTTTTCTAACAGCGAATCGCTATTCGCTACTTTTTAAAATTATTAGCAGCTTGATAGAATAACATGATATTGGAGAATGATATAGACTGTTTTGGTGTAAAATAGTTAATATTTTGTGACCGAAATAATAATTTGAAATGTACCTACCTCCTGTAGTCCTTACAAAAATGTTGCTTTGTGTTTACTGTTGCTACTCGTAAGTCGATTTGTCATAGGTTACATTACAGCCTGAGTTAGTAGATGCCCCAAATACAGTAAAACTAAAAAATATAGCGTACTAAAGCGAAATAGCGAAATAATTCGCTACATTTTTTAGCTGTAGTCAGTAGCGAACTACCTTTGTTCCAAACCTGGAAAAAAGTGGAATCTCGGTATCCTGGATCCTGAGGAACATTTGCTTAGCAACAAGATTGAGGAACATTTTGAATTTTTCACGCGTACTTTAAAGGAGAATTTTAAGGATCGAATCATATTTACTTATCTGCCATTTGAGTCTATTTTGAGATTACGAAGTGTTCTTCATATCCTGTTAATAGAATTTGAAGATTATTTTGTTTCCTCAGCAATTTTACTACCAATATAATCGAGAAACATTTGAAAAAGACAAATTCAGGGTCCGAGGAACATTGAACACTTTTTCCAGATCTGCTTTGTTCAAAAGTAGCAGTAGTTGTAGCTGACTACATATTTTTGAAGTAGCTGTAGTTATACTTATAGTGAACTACAAAAATTTTGTAGTCAGCCCACCCTTGCTGTATTCAATTTTTAAAAAATTGACTTCAAAGTTCATGCTCTCCGCTAATTCCCCTTAATTGACTAGCAAACTCTGGCATTAGACATAGTAAAATGAGAAAGTAGGGCGCAATGCAACTGAATGCCCAGTTAAGATGTCAAAATGGACTGAGCTGCTATTCTTTAATTTAAACGTATGGTACGTTATTCTTTATTTTATTAATTTAAAAAATCCCTGTAATATATTTAAATATACGATGAACACTTTTTACAAATCTCAAATGACTAGCCATTATACAATGTAACACTAAACACTTTATACTGTAAATAGTCTTTCTCTACTTTTACTTATAATACCTGTATGAGTGTATGTAATATATCTTAAATTTGGTTGACTAGCTGTAATTAGAAACATGCAACTACATACATTACCGGCTGCGAGGTCCGTACTGAAAAAAAAATTATTTAGTACGGACTGACCTAAACGGTAAATAACGTGTTTATTTTTTTATTTGACTGTTCATGGTTGTAATGAAATTCCGATAAAATTCCAGTTGCAAAGTACATTTGAGATCAGTCCCCTGCTGTCTACATTTTCAGCTGTCATCTACATTTTGAGGAGACTAGCAGCAACTATTAATTAAATATCTTTGCACAGATTCAGATACATGATGAGGTTGAGATACATGTAGATATTCTATATGGTAGAGTATGTAGCATGGTTATGTTTATCTAGCTTCATTATTGCTACATGTGCAATCATTTTGGATTTGGTGATGTCATAATTTTCAAATCCGCACCACAGAATAAGGTAACAGAAGGCCGACTTCTTGGTTTTTCCTATCATTTTCCTATCATTTTCCTATCATTTTCCTATCATTTTCCTATCATTTTCCTATGATTTTCTTATGATTTTCCTATGATTTTGGCGTAACCCGTAATTCGTCATCAAATGCTGACGCCATGGTCCTAGCCAGTGCGCATTTGAGAGGCATTCACCCCCCTGATAATATTCAAAATGGCGGACGTCCAGGGGGGAATGCCTCTCAAACGCGCACTGGCTAGGACCATGGCGTCAGCATTTTGATGATGAATCGTGGCGTGGCAGCGGTTACTCGAATCGACATTCTGTGTGTCTTATTCTGTGTCCCCACCCTGGCAATATCATACGTGATCATGCATCTAGTGAACTTCCTCCATGCAAGCCCTCTTTTGGGTCTTTATTTCGCAAATATTTGACCTGGAAATTTGTGGATGCATGAAGCACCATGCATATAAGTCAACGTTTTGACAAATGGTCCCAGTTTCCTTTATGGGAAATTTGATTTGAATCTAGGGATTTTTTGTGAAAAATGAAATCTTGCAATTTTGAGTAGGCATGGTATTGCCTACTGAGACATATTTTACAAATCTCGAACCTAAAAAGTTCCTGCTGCTGTTTAAAGTTACCTCTGGTAACTGCGCAAGTGCTTACTATCTTTTCCACCATTGCAATAAATGAAATTTTAAATCCATTTTTTCCCAGTGAGATATCGTGGGATGGGGGAGGGTCCGAGGTGAAATCGAGCTTTTTTACGGTGTAGAAGCTGTGCAGGATTTTTTTAAAGAATTTGTATACTCCATGTAGTTGTAGGAAGTTTATTCTTTTCCTAAACGCTTGCATAAATTTGTTTTCAAATTTCACTCTTTGCATGTGTTTTTTTAATCTTCCTTCCCCCGCCCCCCGCCCCACTCACTTTCACCCTGTCCGGTTATCCGAGGGTTACGTTGTCCACTGGTTCGATTTCCGTTAGTGCTTACTTAATCATTTCTTGCAGGCTGGCCGGTTTCTTGTGACCTTAAAACGAGCATTAGAAGAATGTAAAAGTAAACTACCCGTGAAGGAAAATGTAAAGACAGACACAGCTTCAAGAGAACATCCTGCGAAAGAACAGCATCATGTACAATATAATGTAACATATGTCGGGAAGCTAGCTGTATCGCACAGGAAAGCACCTCCCACGTTAATTGATACATCAGTAGAAAGATTTCGTCATCATAATCAACAGGTCTTATTAACATCGAAATTAAACTCTCTCAGAACAGAACAAAACGAAAGTGAAACACCACCAGAGGAACGTCATCCTACACGATCACCAGTAAAGACAATGAGTATGGATATCGAGGATAAAACACCAGAACAGGAGAGTACAGAAGATGTAGTTCGTCCTCGGTCTGTCAGTGATGGGATACCCTCCTCAGCAATGGACCCCACTACATGTCAAGCTTCCAATGCTTTCACCAGACCAACTAAATCGAACAGGAAGTTAAGTGTCTTCTCAGAAAATCGTAGCTTAATCATGAATATTTCTGTTCATTCTATCTCATTCAGTTCTTCAGTGTCAGGGCGAATTTTAATGGAAAGGAAGGTGCAGGAGATCTCATTTTGTCAACAGGTATAGCTCGTATTACTGAGTAATAAAGCTTTGTTTTGAATTGGTCACGGCGTTCGTTTGACCAAGCATACAATACAGTTTTGACATGTCTCTGCAATCAGTTAAACTGATTTGCATGCTGCACTCAATTCGGCTTTAATAATATCTAGCCGAAACGCCTTCGTTCGAAACGTCGACGTTTTTTGTACTGCATCCTTCAGCCATCTTCTTGAATATAGATCCAGAGTCCAGACTATTAGTCTACCTCCCATCAGGGACAGTGACGTGAATCGTGTGTTTGAACGTACATGATTATCTGTTCCATCACTTTTATTTTAGGGTACACTCGAACCAGAGCATTTTGGTTTTATTTGTCATGATCCTAAAAGTTCATATTACCATTGCTATGTATTCAGAGCTGAGTCAAAAGATGAGGTTAGTACGGTTTAGGTTGATATAAGTCTTTGAACTGATTACTTCTTTACTGTGACTGATTACTTCTTTCAAGAATAGCATTTTATCCTTTCAAGTTCCCATAGCGTTTTTCTTTGTAGCACGATATTTGTCCATTGCATCGCTGTTGCGCTGTCACCATGTAGATTGGAGTAAACAATTATTTGATAACACTTGCCGAGACCTTGATTAACGATATTTGTCCATTGCATCGCTGTTGCGCTGTCACCATGTAGATTGTAGTAAACAATTATTTGATAACACTTGCCGAGACCTTGATTAACGATATTTGTCCATTGCATCGCTGTTGCGCTGTCACCATGTAGATTGGAGTAAACAATTATTTGATAACACTTGCCGAGACCTTGATTATTCAGGGTAACACAAAAATCGAATTCAGTAACTGTTTTATTATACATTGTATTTTCTTTAAACTCTTTCGACAATGATATGATATGTCGCACAAAACAGCGTTCTCTGAAAAACCATAAAAAAATTAGCATTAACAAAAACTCATTTGTCTTCGCTTTTTGCAATAAAAAACATTCACAAAAACGCCATTTGTTCGTGATTTTTTTCTTGTTTTATTTTTGCTATAAAATTACATATACCGCTGAATCAACTACAGATATTAGCATTAACATGTTATCCTCCAGGAGACAAGCTAGCTTTTTGCAATAAAAAACATTCACAAAAACGCCGTTTGTTCATGATTTTTTTCTTGTTTTATTTTTGCTATAAAATTACATATACCGCTGAATCAACTAGAGATATTAGAACATGTTATCCTCTAGCAGACAACCTAGTGACTACATGCATGATAAAACTATTTAATATCATATTTCTTGTGCAGGTGGATAATCTGATGAAGTCTTTAAGAGGAGCTTTCAATTCTGCCTGGCAGGCTGTAGGCTCAACAGCGCCATGTGAAAACTGTCCTTTGCATAAACTGCATTGCTTGTGTCAACACTTACAAGGTACAGTATTTAACTGAATGGAAACGTTTGCATGCATGGGTATAGCGTGAAACACAATGTAGCCTTACCACAGGTATTTTTTCAACCTGTAAGCCCATAAAGATTTGACGTCAATATTAACGTTTAAAAATAAAATAAAATTAAATAAACGTGGTTTAAAAAAATTATACTGTACTGATGCAACTTAACTGCCAAATGTGTACTCCAGATGTGGATCAACCGTGGGGTTCAGTAAGTTGTGAGTACTACTTATTATATTCGAACGATCTATTTTCCAGTACCCGAGAAAATATTCAAGCACCGATACGGCGGGTCACCATATAACGTAGCACTTTTCGTAATTTTTGCCTGAAATACAAGTACCGTGAGGACGAATTTAACGAATAAATGTAGTGCCGATTAATTCAGGTCTTCAAATTTCAAACATTTTCCAGAGGAGAATGGCCCGTATATAGTAATGCAACCCCCCTCTGGAAAACCTCCACCCCCTCTAACAAGTGAAGCCAGATCCGCCCCTGACACTACCTTTCCACAGGTCAGAAACCAGCAGATCAGGAGTGTTTGATTCGTCAGCATTTAATGGATAACTTTGGTGATTCTGTTGTGGACGATTTAAGAAAAAAATACCAGGTAATGAATTCACACGGATATAATGTACTTTAACAATATAGCTATTGAAATGAGAATATTATATAGGCTACAGTTTCCCTTTCTTCTTCCTATAGTTTCCACTTTATAAAGCAATTTTTCAATTTTATAGTATAGTAACTGTACAAAACGTTGACATATTCCCTCCTGTATCAAAATAAGTATAGCAACGTTATTTTTACACATGTCCACAACAATTCTAAATTACGTCCAAAAATCGTTTGAAACAGAAAAATTATGTAACAAAAGTTAGTGCCTATGTGGTTATTTAAATTAGATAAAACACGTATCAATCCCCGGCAACTGGACTGTTCTTTGAGGATATGACGGGGACTGGTTTGTTTTCCGATTAAGAAACGTATTTGAATGCAGTCAACCAAGTGGCATATATACTCATTAGTGTTGAGCGTGTGTTACGTATAAATGATACAAAACATTTCCTCCTATAAATGTTATATTAATTTTATAACTCACAGGCTGAGTCGAAACGTCGTGATGTTGTAGAACACAATGAAATCATGATGTCGTTATTACGTCAACTGTATGAAGAAATGCAAAAAGTTCATAGACATTCACCAAGTGGGCAGGTATGTTTTGAGTATTTCTAATCACAGTTTACTTCTGTACAATAGCTTGACGTAACTGCGGTCTACCCGCGTCTCAAATCCCAGCCCCCTATTATATATATGTATAGAAGCGCCAGCTACTGTGTGCATGCAATCTATTTTTAACCTAGCCTCTCTTTGCCTCTGACAATGTTTTCTTCGACGATAAATTTCATTAACTATAACTTGTTGCAGTATTCAATTAGCTTCGCCGTTCTACCGAACTGCGTTAAACATCATAACGGAGTTATTAAAGATTAACAAGAACTTGTGGAGTTGTGGTCACAGTAGCTCAGTTGGTTAACGCGCTGCATCAGAATCACAGGGCCCAGGCAGGGCCCAGGCAGGGCCCAGGCAGGGCCCAGGCAGGGCCCAGGCAGGACCCAGGCAGGGCCCAGGCAGGGCCCAGGCAGGACCCAGGCAGGGCCCAGGCAGAACCCAGGCAGGGCCCAGGCAGGGCACAGGCAGGGCCCAGGCAGGGCCCAGGCAGGGCACAAGCAGAGCCCAGGCAGGACCGCAGGTTTGATTCCTGCCAGAGGGCCCATAATTGCATTTTTTGCAGTTGCTCCTTGTTAGGTCTAAACTTGTATAAAATCTTCCGCTCGAAATTTCATCTACAAAAACCTTCAACTGTTAGTTGTATCGAGCGAGATGCCCCAAATCGCGTTATGTAACTATAACTTTGACTAGCGTTGGAACCAACCAAATACCAGTTACACAAGTGCGACGTGTCAGCATGAGCTCCACCTTTGAATTTACTATATGAGTAAATTCTTAAACACGTCCGAATTTATCATTATGAATAAATTCGCGGCACATTTTGAATTTATCATAATGATAAATTCGCGGCACCTAACCCTAACCACTAACCCCTAACCCTAACTTTTTAACTTTTTAAATTTTTTAAAATCTAACTTTTTAAACTTTTTTGCTTTTTAAAACTCTTTTAAAACTTTTTTAATAACTATTTTTTTGAAAATTTTGAAAATCTCACCACCCCCGCGCGACTAGCCTCCCTTTTAGTGCCATTACATTTATAACAAGAAGTCTTGTCTAATGCTTGTGGTTTTATGATTAACTCTATTGATAAATTCAAAATGTGCCGCGAATTTATCACAATGATAAATTCGGACGTGTTTAAGAATTTACTCATATAATAAATTCAAAGGTGGAGCTCATGTTGGACGTGTCCATATGATACTCATTCGCGTAAATCTTTTCCATTATGTGATTCGCATAATTTTGTTTCTTATTTATCATCAAGTCTCAACAGACAGACACTCAAGCTAAAGAAAGACCTCTTCAAAACAAGTTCATAGCTAAGGCGAAACGTTCTTTAGGTGATATTTTCCGGGTAAGTCTGTAACTTACATTCAAAATATGTCTTTAATGTAACCTCTCAGAAAGCCATATTATAAGTTTCCAATATAAAAATGTATTTGTGTTTAGTCAAAAGGAAGAAGCTCAAGAAGCGATGTTGATGGAACGTCTTGTGATGAAGCTGAGAATAAGGTATAAAATAAAATATTTCAAAAGTCAATCAATACTTTTACGCACATAACTAAGCTTTTAGTTTGCGCTTAGTTGTATTATTGTACAGTCAGTGCCATGCCATAGCAACCCATCCTAATTCCTGGAATTCTGTAATTTGCACATCTGTGACCTAACCGTTCAATGTGCTACTGGAAAGTGCGCAGCCAACCTAAACTGCAATATTAAACGTCAAAGAAGGAGAGGGAGAAAAGGCGCACGAATCATTTCGTTCACATTGAATATTACCATTCACAGGGCCGCCGAGAGCAAAGTGGTGATAAAATTGGGCACTGACGCAGCTATATTTAAAATTTTCGGTTAATAAGCAATGTTGTATCAAGAAATGTTAACGGCCTTGGGGGCCCTTTTTGAGGTGGGGGCCCAGTAGACTTACCAACAACTGATGTCAGTTGGATGTGCTTGCTGCATGTATCAAGTGGAAAAAAAGAAAGTATAAACTGTTGTTTTAAATTTGTATTTTGCATTGTTAGGTTGGAGGAAGCGGACATCAGTTAACAACGGTGCAGCCAGTGAAACAAATCAATGTCCACGAGCTAGCTCAAACACCTGAAGACAAAGCCGAGGATGAGGAAAATGAGGCTGCTGCGAAACATAAAGGTCTCGACAGGCCTAAACGTTCGCACCGTAGATCATACAGTGACATCAGTCAAGTTTTCAAATCACCCAGCAAGGTATAAGTAATAATAGTACTAATAATAATTACTGCTTTTATACAATGGATCTGTTTAAAATGACCCAACGTTGCTGAGACTGGATGGAAGACGGTATGATAACTACGATTTAGATGTATCGAGTCATTAGACATAAACTGTCAAACTGCGATTAAATTAATTTAAATGTTCTTCATTAGGTTCATTATCAAAATCACACTGTCTTTCCTTTATAATTATTCATCAAACTATGCTAGAAAAATTCAATCTTCATGAATTATATACCGTGGCATACATAATCCTGCTTTACCCCGTCCTGGCAAAATAGAGTCTTTGTAAAGTGGTCCTAAGACACAGTACAACAATCAATTATTCTAAAGTGTTAAACTTGATTTACATAGGTAGTGAAAGATCCCAACGACAGTAGGGAACATGTCTCCGATGATGAACATTTCGTTGTTGAACCTCCACATAGTCAGAATTCCAATACAACCAGTAGTCCGAAGAAGACATTAACTCGCAAACAATCTTACCGCCGTGCCATATTTGACAGTGTTGTCACACCCTCTAAACTGCCTAAGAACGCGGAGGGATTGGTACCTAGCAATATTTATATACCGGCAAATGGGGCAGTAAAAAAGTCACCTTACCAACTTCGGGCATTATGGCGGAAAGCAATCATGGAACAACGACTTTTGATTCGAATGGAAAAAGAGAATTCAAAATTACGAGGTAATTTAAAGTGACTGAAAAAATAAATTTATGTGATTCTAATATTGGTAACTGACTAGCTAAGAGACGGACCATTAAATATTTGAGCGCAAAAATTCGCGCACAGAAAAAAATCCAGAGAAAAAATATCGTGCAAAACAAACCTATTGAAAAAAAAATCGAGCAAGAACTATGGATGATTCGAGCAAGAACTATGGATTTTTAAAATCGTAATGCAATTGTTTTAAAGCATTAAAATGGTGTTTTACGACAATCTAAAAATGTATGACCCCCCCGTCGACGAACTTTCCGGGAAAAATTTTTTAGGTCATCTTTAAAAAAAATATCGTACCAAAAAATTGCCCCAACCCCCTCAAATATCTAATGGTCCGTCCCTAACAGACGTTTATCCCAGTGTCGCCAAATTTATATTTTTGGGTAACTCTCGTACCTGTTACCATCATTGTGACAGTGCAAGCTAGAAGTTCATGTCAATATTCATAAGACTCGTTAGCTCTATCAGGTATAGTCGTTTTAAAGGCCATGTTAGGGCAATTGTTCCAACAACTAGCAACGTACTGAATTTTGTGAGAGTGAGCTGTATTATACATATAAATGAATTCACTGAGAAATGGAAGCATGGACCACATCTTACTCCGCCAACGTTTTCTCTCTCTCTTCCCAAGACGTACAAAAAAGTATAGGAATGAAAATATCGGTGTAGGAAATATCAGTAATGATCATCCACTAACTTTTTGAGATTGCTGTTTACTATCTATATAATACCCCAGCCTACTCACTCTCTTGTTCCCGTCAAACTTAGGTTCCGGAACTATATAGGCTGATATGGCCCTTTGTTCGAAATTGTGTCGCAAAACCAATGCACACAAAACGTGTGTCATTCACCGACATGCTTCTTTCATTTATTTCTTTTTTGTGTTGTGTATATGTTTAGCTGGAGAAGGCATAGCCAAGAACAAACGTCTTAAATTGGAATATGAAGAACTTCTCCCAAGTAATAATTTAGCAAATGAAATGTGGAATAAATTATTAACAAATGAAAGTTTGATTGACAAGGAAGATCTCATTGACGCAGTCAAGTTTGGTATGTCACAATTTCCATGCTCTCTCTATACATGATTATTATGTTAATGTTGAATAGATCATACACTGACATACAGAATCTTAACAATCAGTGTAAATATATAAGCATGATTGTGTCGTATTGTAATCAGTGTTGTTCATATAGATTTCTGAAATCTATGTCGCGGAATATAAGAGATTTTCCTCTCAATCTAAACAGCAAGAATATACTTCTTGACCTTCTTAGATTGTTGGGACTAATAAAGTTAAAATTGCCTTGAATAAATGCGTGTACCTTGCTGTCCACGCAGAGATTGGTTATTCGTCGTTTATTGTTGGTGTCTAGAACGTAAAACTGAACCAAAATTCATGTTGAATGCAAGGTCTGCTATACGAAAATAGATCTTTTGAAAACATAAATGTATGGTTACGACTTACTGACGCGTCTAGAAAGCGAGACTTATTGACTTATTCTTATTATAGACTTATTCTTATTAATTTCTTTTCTGGATCCTTATTATATACTTATTCTTATTAATTTCTTTTCTGGATCCTTATTATATACTATAGGTGTACCGAAGAATCGCCGTGGAGAAATTTGGAGATTTTTATTGAAACAAGATGCTTTGCGGCATAAACGTGAGACGACACCGTCCATGACATTGTCCTACAGAGAGTTAAAAGAAATGACATCTGTTCATCAACATGCAATACTTATTGACTGCAGTAAGTTTCGATTTGCTTGTTTGTAAATTTTAGTCTGTTATCAACCAGTACCAAATTTACTATGGTGTACCGCACCTTAATATGCGGGAGTTTGAAATGTTTGTGACTGAAAATTTGGTGTCAAACTGCAAGGGTATATACTTGGATCAAACCTTGGGTCCACTGTAGGTAGTTAATTATAACATAAGATTCAGAAATATACTCTGACAGTCTGGCGTTTCGAGGTAAGGCCTTCATAATTGAGGAGGTTAATGACTTAAGGTACGTTTACACACAACGATTAATCGGGCCGATTTCAGATTTTGCCGAATGTGTTAATGACGAATGTTGTTTGTTGACAATAGACAGATCCACCTACCACAATGTCTCCAAAATACCACGCCGGGTCTGTATGCTGATGACACGGAAATTTACGCGTCATCACACAATGTAAATGATCTTATTGACAACATAAATTATGACCTAAATATTGTTACGAAATGGATGGAGAATAAGAAGCTACAAATTCATCCTAAGAAATCTAAATGTATGTTTATTGCATCCCCCTATAAAATTAAGAATATACCTCAAGAAATACCGATATTAATTAATAATGTTCCTGTCCCAAGATTAAATTGCTATAAATGCCTCGGTGTCACTTTAGACGAAAAATTAAACTGAGAACATCATATTGATATGATTATTAAGAAAGTTAATGCAGGCATTGCAGTAATTAAACGAATGAAAACCTGTGTTCCTCAGGAATTCTTACAAACAGTTTACAACGCCTTAATACAACCATATTTTGACTACTGCTGTCAATTGTGGGATACCTGTGGAATCGTCTTAAAGGAAAAACTACAAAAATGTTAATCCCGAGCTGCTAGAGTAATAACAGGAGCATCTTATGATATTAGGTCGGCCGATGTTCTTGCAACTTTGGGGTGGCAAACTCTTGACAACAGACGAAAATACTTGAAATTCATTTTTATTTACAAAATCTTAAATAATGAAACTGCTCCAAACCTGAAAGAAAATTTTTTGAAAATAAGTGATTGTCCAATTATACACCAATTAAGAAATTCTCAAACAGATCTGGTACTTCCATTCCCAAAATCACAATTTAAGAAAAAGACCTTCAGTTATAGTGGAGCAACTCTTTAGAATAACTTATCAATTACTGCTAAACAATCCAATTCTATGAATTGTTTCAAAAGACTAATGAAGCTACATTTTCGAAAACAATAAGTATGTAAATAGTTTTGTATGTTTGTTATTTATTTATGTTTGCTAACTGTCTAAATAATAATCATGTAAATAGTTTGTATTATGTATATGTATTAGTCTTATTCTTACACGTCCCCTGTGGAAACCATCAAAATATGTTAGGGCTAACGTGTTTAAATAAATTTTTATGTATGTATGTATGTATGTATGTATGTATGTATGTATTAGATCGAGGATATACGGACGTCAAAGACGACGTGAAAATGGCGTATCATATCCATATTCCATACATGGGCACAACACGCCATTTTGACGTCGTCTTTGACGTACGCGTCCTCGATCTAAATCTGTCTATTGTCGTCAGATGACATTGACAGCGTATTTTTCAAATATAATTGAATTAAAGCTGAATCGGCCCGATTAATCGTTGTGTGTAAACGTGCCTTTAATGGCCAATATTACGTAGCATATGCAGAGTACAAAATTATTTTGATTATCTTTTGCTTGTAATTTATTTCAGACCGAACATTTCCTGCACACCCTTACTTCAGTCAACATGTAGGCGTTGGTCAGTTTGCTTTATTTACCTTACTTAAAGTATATTCCAATTTGGATCCTGAACTCGGATATTGTCAAGGATTGAGTTTTGTTGCTGGGATACTTCTTATGCACGTGAGTTAATCATAATATTGGGTTTTTTTATGAAATGCGTGCTGATTTACGTACTTATAGCTGGTTTACGTAAATGTATAACTTATTTACCCTTTCCATCCAGTGGCGGTCACTTCGCGAAATATTAGGGAGTTTACGAGTGTAAGACGGCGACGACAGGACGACGGCTAAACAAACTGTTTGAAATAAATGATTCTATAGAAATCTTGTCTTGTATTTACTTTCGTATGAATTTAAAATAGTTTCGAACGGGTAAAACAGAGCTTTAACCCTCCGAGCAATGTTGATCACCTCTGGCTTTGCTAGAGAAACGACCTGCACGGCGTGCAATGCTAGCGTACTATACAAAACGTGAAAATATACATTTTGCCGTTGTCAACAGAGCTTGGACGACGTCTAAACCCCCTACTAAACTTTTAATTATTCATTTCTTTTGTGCTATACGATTAATGTCATTGTATTGATAGCCGTCGTATTGACGGGGGGGGGGGCTTGACACCACATTACCACCATTTTGTCGCTGCAAATTCCTTAAACTTTCTTGCCTTAAATTCCATACCATGAGAATTTGCCTAATTTATAGCCTACCAATGATTTCATGGTTGTAAATGGCATGCAAATCAGCAAATAACGCTTGGTTTCCCCCTCACCCGCCCGCCCCCCCCCCCCTCCCCTCGCTAGTATCCGCCATTGTTTCCATCCAAAAACTCTTCAACTGACAAGAACGATTCCTGGCGTTGGATAGAGTAGACTGCGCCAGTATAGTTTTAATATGATCGATACGGACTCCCACTCCCATGATGCCAATCTCATTCCTTGAAATCTTCGCTTCAAAGGAAGTATCCGCAACTGCATGAAACGTGTTATATCTTCTGTCGCAAATAGTTTTATATTTTCTTATATTTTCTTAACAGCTTGGTGAAGAGGAAGCATTCGAAGTTTTGAAACACTTGAATTACAATTATGGACTACGTAATCAATATATGCCTGATATGGCTGGCTTGAGAGTAAGTACGAACTATATTATGAGGACTTTAGATTGTTATCTTGACATGATGTTAGACGTTACTTAGCAATATAATTGCCTCTGTGTTTCCAAAAAAACGCTTTGTCAAGCTTAGAAACTGAGTTCCCAACTTTTTCGGCCTTTTTTGGGTTACATCCCCAATAACGCTATCGTAGATACTTCAGTGATGATGCACTATTCCTTGGTCGACGATCGCGCTCCGCTTTATGAACTGCTGTTTTCGCTTATCACCCGTCCCCCTACCAGATCAAGTTGAATTCATCGCTGCATTTAAACTGCAAACGTTTTCTTTAACTTAAAGTATAATTGCCTTTAGATTCAGTTCTATTAATATTTCTTCTCTACTTAATGATTCCTGAGCTTCAAACATATTCACAGGCAGTTGAGTTAACATGAAACCTATTTCCTTGGACCCACTATAGTGAAACATTTTAACTTTATTGCATCTAGGTTGAGTTCTATCAATATTCTCGCCTACTTCATGATGCCTGTCCACTATAGTGAAACATTTTAACTTTATTGCATCCAGGTTGAGTTCTATCAATATTCTCGTCTACTTCATGATGTCTGTCCACTATAGTGAAACATTTTAACATTATTGCATCTAGGTTGAGTTCTATCAATATTCTCGTCTACTTCATGATGCCTATCCACTATAGTGAAACATTTTAACTTTATTGCATCTAGGTTCAGTTCTATCAATATTCTCGCCTACTTCATGATGCCTGTCCACTATAGTGAAACATTTTAACTTTATTGCATCCAGGTTGAGTTCTATCAATATTCTCGTCTACTTCATGATGTCTGTCCACTATAGTGAAACATTTTAACATTATTGCATCTAGGTTGAGTTCTATCAATATTCTCGTCTACTTCATGATGCCTATCCACTATAGTGAAACATTTTAACTTTATTGCATCTAGGTTCAGTTCTATCAATATTCTCGCCTACTTCATGATGCCTGTCCACTATAGTGAAACATTTTAACTTTATTGCATCCAGGTTGAGTTCTATCAATATTCTCGTCTACTTCATGATGTCTGTCCACTATAGTGAAACATTTTAACATTATTGCATCTAGGTTGAGTTCTATCAATATTCTCGTCTACTTCATGATGTCTGTCCACTATAGTGAAACATTTTAACTTTATTGCATCTAGGTTCAGTTCTATCAATATTCTCGCCTACTTCATGATGCCTGTCCAAGTCTACATGATCATTTTGAAAACTACGAAGTGACACCAACACTGTACGCTGCGTCGTGGTTTCTTACCCTCTTTGCTTCTTTGTTTCCTGTCTCTTTCGCTTCCAGAGTTCTTGGTAAGTAAAATATTTCTTGTTAAATATAACCAACAAAGAACATAGTCAACGTATGGTCGTTGTGCACGATGACCGGTCACATTCTCTTGTATTCTCTAAATTTAAGACTTGACTTGGATCACTGTAATAAGTAACGCAGCCGAAACTGACTATCCTTATATTTTTTAAAGATTTGCTTTGTTTTGGAGGATTAGAAGCTGTTTTCAAGGTTAGTCTTCATTGAACATACGTTTACAGTTTTATACCTAAAGTTAATCTTATTATTTTGGAAATCCTGTGAATAACAATTTTCTTCAACGTCATATATTGCGCAAATTCTAAATGCAATTTATTTATAATTTACTATTAATGTTTTCCGCAAAAATGTCAGCAAATTTGGTCACAGAGTTAATCGGTGAGCTCATGTTTTTACCTTTTTCACCCAATCCACTCGCATGTATAGTTTAAATGATTGTTTACCTTTGTCGCATTCTACGCTAACGTTATCAGATCAGGGGTAACTAGGCATGGGTGTGAGTTGGATAGCAACTGACGTAAACATTCACCGATTAATCAACAATTGTTCACGGAAGTGGAGGTGAATAATGCCAGGATATTCACTGAGAAGCGAAGCGTGGATATCCAGAGATGCAAAGATATCCGGAGATGAGCAACCAATCAAATCGCACGAAAGCATTGTCCTATTTGTCCACCTCCCGAGTATATGCTAATTAAGTCTATTGACTCAATTCGTAGTGGCTCAGAAAATCAGTAATATACACCTAATTTTAAGGACAATATTTCGACGTTTCTTAACATTTTTTCAAGGTAGGTTTAGTCCTCGCTTAGTTTGATACACACTCTTGTTGATCTTACGTGAGCATGGAGTTGATTGATAATGTGTTTTTCGGGACCGTCTGCGTGGCAAACGGTCTACCAGTACAGCATGTTTAGAAGGAGACTTTTAAAAGTTTGACAACTAATGTATGAACATATCTGAATCTCAGTATTATTCTGCAGGTGGCTATAACTCTAGTCAATCGTTTCCAAAACAAGATCTTGGCTTGTGAAAGTTTCGAGACAATCGTAGATTTCCTGAAGATTGACTTACCTAAACTAGCAGTTGATGAACAAGAAAGTATCGTGAACGATGTTCTTGCCATGGATATTGGAGATAAACTTCTTAGATTTGAAGTTGAATATCAAGTCTTCCAGGAAGAGGAAATAAATCCGTCTTTATTGAAACCATTACTGGAGAAAACAGAGAAACTGGCTGGGGAAAATAAAAATCTAAAACATCGCAGCAATGTTTTGAAAAGTGAATTGAAACAAATGCAACGAAACGAGAAAGCATTACTGGACAAGATCAAAGAATTGGAGGCCGAAAACACCAGGCTAAGGTCTTTGGCCACTCTGGAGGAGAATCCATCATTTGGTGATAATAATGGTGATCATGATGGTGATGTTAGTGGTGACAGTGGTGGTTCTGGCAACACATCCCCAGGATTTGTTGATCTTACTGGTCACAATTTTGAAGTGAATGATGGTGATATTACTGGCGACAGTGGTGTTGTGTATGGTGATCTCACTGCTCACAGTTATATGACGAATGGTGGAGATGACGGTCCAGAGTGTTCACCTGGTGTTACAAACTGCACCAGTCCTACTGATGATAACACAGATAGTTTTGAACATATTCTTGGTGAAACCGACGATGAAATTGATGCGATGTCCTGTGATTCACCTTTAACGATTAATGATTCATTATGCGACCATACCAATAGCCCAGAATCAGAACATTGTACAAAACTGTAGAAAAATATAGTTGGAAACAGAATGGATATTTAAAATATTTTTGGGGGCAAGCTAGAGATTTAGTAAATATTAATAGAAAATAGTCTTCCGGGGCCGGTTGTTCGAGGCTGGATTAGCGCTAACCCTGGATTAAATGTTAATCCGCCGTTTTAGTTTGTGTATCTCTATTTGTGTGTCTCTGTTATTTTAAAACTTCAGAAAAGAAAACTCCCACTGACCCACGCAAGATTTCTAAGGAAAAATTTCCAAGTTTATAAACAAGCTGCTGGGAAATTTGCTTTGAATTTTATGTTAACCTATAGGGTTAAGTTAACCGACTTTCGAACAACCGGCAGCGTGATAAACGATTTCTCTGCATTCTCCCTGCTCAGCAAGAAACTTCAAGCTTATGTTGAGTCACGGATAAGTACATATATTTGACATATAAAAAATAACTGCCGTTGCAAAAGTGGAATGTGACCAGTTTTTCTGCATACGCCATACTTAAATAAAATTTAAAATTGATATTAAAAAAGCCCTTAAATTTAAGTGTCTGAACAATGAAACAACGAAATGTTAAAAATTCTTTACAGTTGTCGTCATATAATTACTTTCGCTATATGCACTTTGACGAACAGGGAATAAAGCATAGTTAATCATTTTCGTACTGCTGACTTGTGTGGAATCAGGGTAAATAGACTTATGTTCACTTTAAATTACTCGCGTGCCTACTCATTGTTCTAGCTATAGGACGTCAAGAATAACTTAGCATTACAATTATCTTTACGAGCTATTCCATCATGTTAATATTTCCAATGATTAGAAGTTGCCTTTGTTCTATTCTGTGCTGTCCTAATGTGGAACAATGGGAACTAGGCATGTGAGTCATGCAAAGATGCAATATATTGGATATAGACAAACGTTTACTGAGTTTGTCAATTCATGCAGATTTTCAATGTCTATCCTGCAAGAAGTCGTTCATTAACTCCCTTTATATGGAATACCAGAGGTTAGTAATATGTTAAGTAGAAAACGTTAATATTATATGAAGAATTTTTTTGATTTATATTATTGCTGAAAGTGAATGTGAAAAGATGAAAATAATTAAGAAATTAATGGACTAGATATAATATGTTGTATTATACTTGAAATAGAGAAAGAAAAATATAATTCATATTCACTCAAAATAAATATATTTCACACTTTGCTTTTTGCATTGTATTACTAGTGATATATACAAGTTAATTCTTAGTTGATGGTACAGTCCGTTGGCTCATATACCGGGGGACGCGGAGTCTTACAGCCAATGTAGGTTTTAGAGTTTAACGAAGTGTTTGACGGAAGTGCTAGTTGTTTTCATTGGATTAAGCTCGTCCCTGTGGTTGTGATGAATGAGCTTGTCTCACGCTCGGTTTATCCGCCATTTTGTTGGTACTGCCTGTCCAAAGTCTGAGAGTGCATGCACGCACCGCGAAATGCGACTTTTATCACTGTATAATGGTAAATTTACAGTTACATTTTTGGTAAGTCTCCTTTCACAATACTACGTGAAAAGACAGTAACCCAAAAAAGGCGGATATTGACCCGCGTCAGAAAGGCCAGTTAGTGCTTCCTTCCTGTTTTTCTTCTATGTTTTCATAATTACGTCCACCCAGTTACTTTGATCTCTTTAGTAAACGTATTTCCAACTCACGATATAGTTTGACGACTCGATCATTAATAAGAAAAGATAAGGCGATGTAAAATCCTTGTAAGGAAGCGAACAAAACAAACAGGACTGAAAATATTGCTGAATCAACTAAAATATCGAGAAATCCAAAAATCCAAGTTAGTCCAGTGAGAGATGAGAGTTTGAGGTAAATCCAGACTGTGTTTTGTTCATGGCGTTTATTTCCTGAAGCATACAATTCTCTGCTCTTTTGTTTGTTTGATTCAATCATTATAACAGTGTAAATAAACATGGCTGTGTTGAAAAACACGAAAAGACCGACTGGTAGAATGAAAAGGAACTCTTGTGCTTGTCTGTTTGCTATCCAACACGCCATTCTTTCATGTTCCAAGCTATAGCCAGCGTCATAGACATTGACGAAATGGAGAAATGTTGTGATTGAAATGAATAGCAATGGAACACCCCACACAAATCCACTATAGATCATAAACCGTCTCCTATCTTCAGTTTGGGTAGAAGGTATTCTGAGTTTCTTTGAAGCTAAAGTTGTTTTTGTATGAAATGCAATGACTGACATTGCAGTGAATGTAACAAGAAATAGATAATGCTCAATGATGGTAATTATTGTGCACAGTTGTGGCCTTTTTGTTTGTGGTACTCCAAGTAACCACAGCAATTGAGCAAGAAACAGGGACACAGCAAGATTTAGGAGATTTTTTCCAGGAAGTCTACGTAATTCTGAGAATATCATATACGTGAAGATAAGAGCAGCCAAGCTCACCAAGGACAGAGTAAAAGTAAAAATTGTTAAAGTTTCCATTGCCATATCAAATTTTCTACTGGTACGTTCACGTATAATTGATGTAGTTTTGGTGCACAGTATTAGAGTATCATTTTCCGTTTTATAATCGCCAATATTATATAGTGTTTGAGTTCTTTCGTGGTAAACTGACAAATTTGGAAATTTTGTGTACTCCTCTGGTTGAAGATATATTTTTAATCCTACACAAGTTGAGAGAACTAAATCATTACAAATTGTAATGTTTGTTCCTTTGTGGTACACTCCATTAGAAGAAAATGTTTGGTTAGTTGATATAATGTGGTATTTTTCATTTTTCAGTAAGATATATTCCTCTTTTGTGTAACTTTGTTTTCCGATACAAGCTAGTCTTCGAGACGTAACTTTGAATACCTTAAAAAGATCTAAGGATATCTGTATAATAAGTTCATCGGTAAAATACAAAAGGTCAGCAATGCTTAACATTTTCTGTGGAAGCTCCTTGTTAAGTTTCGTGGACTGAATAGATACAGTTAAACTCTGGATATTTGTTAAACATACTTCAAATTCGACAATATAATAATTTTCCATTTTATGAACAATCACGTGTGATATTTGAGTTGCATTCAAGTCAAGTCTTTGTGCTAATGCAGAACGAAAGTCGGTGATGTCAATGTCAACAGATGATTTTACTGGAAACAGATTCTGAAGCCACGTTACAACATAATATTTATCAATAAAGTCCTTTACAGGAGGTATGAGTTTACCACGTCTACATATCTCGAGCAACGAATCAAAAATCTCGGCTGCTGGACATTTTTGAGACACTGACAATACGCGCCATTTTTTAAGGTCGCCCATAATTAGTGAAAAAGAAGGTACGAGCTTGCGTCCGTAATTAAATGGTGAAAATCCCCGAGACACTTTAAGACCACAACTTAGTACATCAGCAGGGACTCCATTACACAGCGCACACCATACGTTTTTGTAGTTAACACGATTGGCTGTAACAACAGCAACTGAGCCTTTCCTACATTTCTCTGAGTCAGCGGACATCTGACAATTTTGTTCTACTAGATTACTGCAATATCGTCTAGCTTGGTTCTGGCCAGGAACAATGAAGATATGTTCATGTCCACAATATTCTAACACGAACGAAATCATCTCTTGTAGACTTGATAGCGAGGAAGGAGGTAAAAAAGGACAGGTAATACTTAGTGAAAAATATGTAAAGTTTTCAATATTATTACACTGGGCACAAAATACGTTCCGATACACGGTGTTGTTTACATCTATCACAGCTAAATATTGGTAAATATTTTCAACTTTAAGTATATCACTTTTTGAAACGTTCTCACAGTCATATAACGTTTTCTTATTCAACCAACCTCGGGAACATTTGGTCACCATCCATATACTTTTACTTCTGGCTTCATAACCAGGTATGCACGATACCATACTTCGATCCAAGACTTGCATCTTGTTTATTCCATGTTGTTCTTTACTGCAGTACATTTCGTAGTCATAGCAACAGTCTTGGTAAACAGAATAACATTGATCATCACAATAACAATTATATGCTTGGTTATTTATCGATCTGTTATTGTTATGGCAACGTTCACGACATGAGTCATACTTCGAACAGACAATCCCGAAAGAAAGTTTATTTCGTTCCCATAGTATTGCTTTAATAATATTGCTTTTATTATTTCTTGAAATCTTGTTGGTAGCATGACCACCTCCAGATTGTTGTGTCGATGTTGTCCTCATTATTGCCCGCTTCGAACTAGAACAGGGAAATAGTCGACATAGTTGAAAATAAGCTGACTAATGAGTAATGAATAGATAGTGTAGAAGATTAAACTAAAGAAAAATAACCTGACAATTAAAACGTGGTAATGAAGACACTCAAGTAAAGTATTTCATTTCAGCATAGAGATTTATGGGAAGTGCTTTTGTACAATTGTCAATATTTCCGCACTTGTTAATTTTATAACTTGTTTTCACAAAGCGAACGAGCGAATAGCGAGTGAGCTTTGTGAAAACAAATTAAGTAAATTAACATGTGCGAAAAAATTGTACAAAACTCAAAAGAGTTTTTTCTTCCATTGAAGTCATTGTCACTGATATTATATAGTAAATCCATTCAAACAAAAATAGAAATCGATATAGAGCGACAAAATAAAGTTTAGGTTCAACTTTAGTTTAGGCGAAATATATAAAACAAAGTCATAATAAAAGGTGGGAGTTAATTAATGCACTTAAAATACTTAGCCTCGCTGTAGAGCCTCGTTTTCAGGATTAATATATCGGCTCCAGGCCCTTTATATATCGGCTCCAGGACCTAACCAGGAACAGCTGCAAAAAATGCAACTATACGCCCTCTGGCAGGAATCGAACCTGCGGCCCTGCGATTCCGATGCAGCGTTCTGACCAACTGAGTCACAGAGTCCAGTAACGTTGTTGAGCTCCAATGCAACCACAAGTTCATGCATATATACTAGGTACTGCCATGTTAGGTTATGGGTAATGCTGGTTTTCCACTTGCAAATTTTTTCGTGCGAAGCGAATTTTTCATTTGTCTTTGGTTTCTCAACTGGAACCATGTGGAATTAATTGGATAAAGACAAAAGAAAAATTCGCTTCGCGCGAAAATTTCGCAAGTGGAAAACCGGCTTAAGGTGGCTCCATACACTTTTCATCATTGGGGGACTGGTACCTAATCTTCAGTTCTCGCGCGAAAATGTTAAAAATATATGCAAAAATAAATACAACTTTTTCGGTATAAAATCCGAACCACAAGTCATGTTTATTTTGATGTTTTGAGTCTTCCTTGTTCTCATTTGTTCTCAAAGAACAAACTTCGTCCTGATTTAGCTCTGAACATTGAATAACTAGTCTTTTTAGAAGACATTTTAAGGTAAAAAAATGCAATGTTCAACTTTCAAACTCTTGTGAAAACTGGCGATCGGCCCCGGACCGGCGAAAAGTTTTTTACTGAGTTTTTTTGTACTTACAACTGGTAAATGTATTCAAAGTGTTACTAACAGCAAAGGAATTCAGTGAAACAGCATCGTGCGCCGGTTCAAACTGTTTTAACTTGTCAACAACAACATGAAAACACACAAGTTACGACTGAAAACGAATATAAAACTATGTAGAAAAGCCAAAAAGTTCATACATGTCACACATATCTTATACCAAACGACCGACAATCACCTGTTTTCTTGGCGTTATCCCGAGTTAGCATGAAAAACCAAATATATTTGCATTTCTAAGCAAGAAAACACAATATATATTTGATATTTCGACGAGACTAAAAACTTTTTTGTGCGTGTTTTTCTGGAGATGCGCCTGCGAAAACATGTACGCGCATGTCAATTCATTGATCTTGCAGAGTGTGAAAAACTTTGGCCGCGCGGAATAAAACCGTGATTATTTCCAAAACGAGTTCGGTAAGGTACCCTGAAAATTTGTACATGAGTAGATACATGCTTCAAGATTTCATGATGGAAAAATAAAAAAAAATTGTCGACAGAAACTGTCAAAAAAGTCGAAATTTAATTCTAAAGAATTGAGTCGACAGATTTTTTTTAAACTTCCCAGAAATGTTTCTCGACACTAACGTAACTGATTTATTAAAAAAAAAGTTGGGGTCACCGAACTCATTTTTTAAAAAAACTCGAAAAACTGCGATATTTTCGGCTATTTAGTGTTGCCAGTATTCGTTATAGTTGTCATGGAAACGCGACTTTTATCAGAATTCTTCTTGTCTGTGACACGTCTTACTATGTGTTACAATTATAAGTAAAACTTAACCCTGTAAAAGCATTTAAACAGAAAATATTCAACTTTTGCTCCTTTGGCTAAAAAGTGTATTGAGCCACCTTAAATCTTGATATTCGGCACACTCCTTGCAGACCGCGCCGACAAAAACAATAGAAAGGGACTGAAACTGACGTCCAATAGCTCCATCTTTAGCCGTGTTTACACTTCTACAAGCCTTAGCCTGGCCTAGGCCTGGCTTTTGACTAGATTTTTGTAGTGTAAGCGCACTTTGGCCTGGCCTAGGTCAGAAAATGTGGGCCCATCAGAACCGGTGGCCCATTTTTTCTGGCCTAGGCCAGGCCAAAGTGTGTTTACACACTACAAAAATCTAATCCAAAGCTAGGCCTAGGCCAGGCTTAGGCTCGTAGTGTAAACACGGCTTTTGACTTCACTTTTTGAACTCGAGTTCTCACTCCGGATATATATGTTATTTACCGACTGGGAGGTCCGGATAGAAAAATATTTTGTCGAGGTCTCAAAAACAGGCCGAAGGCCGAGGGACATTTTTGAGACTGAGACAAAATATTTTTCTATCCGGACCGACCTAAACGGTAAATAACGTATTTATTTTTTTGTCGAAGACTCAGGGGCAAATGGCAACGGTTTTATTAGATTGCGCATATAGAAAACAAAACAATAAAAAAATTTTGATATTTAATTATTTTACTTTAGAAAACAAACAATTCAATTAAAATACAGTACAATTATTTTATCCATCATTAAAATTATTTCAAAATTACATATTCATATTTTTCAGTTTTAAAACAAACATACAAAAAATTTTTGCTTTGCTTCGGCCATTACGTATAGGATTCCGGACCGTGGTCAAATATCGTAAAATTCCGCCCGCTGCTGCAGCCAATCAGATTGCAGAAAACGCTAGGATTCCGCCCGCTGCTGATTTACAAAAAAATAAGTACAGTTACTTTTTGAGCTCCAGATGTACAACTTGCAAAAAGCTTCAATGTACAAGCCCAAAAAGTTTAATATTTTGCAAAAGTTGTTACATGGTCAACTGTTTAATAGCTAGTTACTGATTTCATTTAAGTTATTTTGAATAGCGTAGACTCATGTGTTCGAAAAATACAGAAGCTGGCTTTGAAGACTCGCAGAAAATTTCAAAATTCAAAGATTGGCATCTCCAGCATTATACATAGAGATGATATCAATGTGTCGGCAAAGTTATCTGCAGTCAATGGAAAGTTAAAGGAGATGGCTAACAATGATGACTTTGTTTTTATTGACAATTCGCGTATTGATGGAACATGCCTCAACGGCAGCAAACTACATTTGAACGCAAAGGGATCGGCTTATTTAGCCAATAATTTTATAAAATTTATTAGGCCATTGGGAAAACGAGCGAAGCTGCAAATGGTTTTTTTAAACCCAATACATCAGCTGGGACAACTACTAACCCAGCTAACAACCCAACCAACGACAATTCCACTATACAAGAAACCTCGCCGTTAGATGTTGGGAATGACAATTCAGGTAAAGCATGCCGTGGTCCAACAATGGGTGAGTTTGATTCTGCATTGCATTGCGTCGCTAGATTAAAAGGCCTAAAAATTGCTAGTATAAATGTCAATAGCTTATTGAAACACATTGAGGAAATTAGGCATCTGTTATTTAAATTTCCCTTCGATATTTTTGCTATTAATGAATCCGAAATAGATTATTCTGTAATGGATGGGGAAATAAGTATCCCTGGTTTTAACTTGATAAGAAAGGACCGTAATAGGGCAGGAGGCGGTGTTGTATATCAGAGACAACCTATCCTATTTGGATAGTGCTGAAATTACTCGCCCCTTTAGCAAGTCGCTTTTTGTCTGCACATGGTATAGGCCTCCGAAGTCAAACTTGAGCTTATTTAATGATTGTGATGTATTTTTTCAAAAATGCGAGTCTGAAAATAAGGAATTGATTATAATTGGTGATATTAACTGCGATGTTATGAAAACCTCACCAGATGCCCATACACGACAATTAAACTTTTTGTGTTCTCTTTATCAACTTGACCAATTAATTAATAAACCTACAAGAGAGACCAACACCTCGGCGACCTTGATTGATTTGGTCTTAACTAATGCTAAAGAAAACATTTCGACGTCTGGTGTAATAAATCTGGGGATGTCTGACCATAGTTTGATTTATGTGGTCAGGAAGTTCACCCTTCCAAAACTTAAACCTAATGTGAAAGAAGTTAGGGATTATAAACATTTTAATGCTGAATATTTTATTGGGGATTTAGCCAGAATGCCTTGGCATGTAATTAATCAATATAATAATCCCAACAAGTAAAAATGCGCCGATTCGACATAAGCGAGTAAAGGGAAACTCGGTCCCATGGATTACTCCGGAAATTAAATGTATGATGAGAAACAGAGACTATTATAAAAAATATGCAATAAAACATTCCTCACAGCCACATTGGGAAAGTTTTCAATTTCTGCGGAATAAAGTGAATGTTGAAATGCGAAATGTAAAATCAAAATATTTTCATGATAAAATCACTGATTGCTCTGTAATAAATGACCCTAAAAAGACTTGGAAATTAATTAATTCATTATTGGGAAAGAATAACAAATCCAACAATGTGAATGAGCTGCTGGTTGACAGCACGTTAGTTTCGGATCCTAAATCTATTGCAGATGCATTTAATGACTATTTCATTAGTATTGGGTCGAGGCTAGCAGCAGAATATGTAGACGAGTCCTGTAGTAATGTTGATAATCAGCCCATAAACTATAATATTAATCAATCCTCAGATACTTTTTTTAAAGTATCTCCAATATCCGTTGATAGTGTTGCCTCGACCCTAAGAGGCCTAAAAGCATGTAAAGCAACAGGTCTTGATAAAATTCCTGCTAAAATTCTAAAATTATCTGCAAACATAATTGCACCCTCGTTGACATTCATCTTCAATCTGTCGCTTGCAACAG